TAATACAATGACACAGCGGCCTACTAATACAATGACACAGCGGCCTACTCATACAATGACACAGCGGCCTACTCATACAATGACACAGCGGCCTACTCATACAATGACATAGCGGCCTATAATACAATGACATAGCGGCCTACTAATACAATGACACAGCGGCCTACTAATACAATTACACAGCGGCCTACTAATACAATGACATAGCGGCCTACTCATACAATGACATAGCGGCCTACTCATATAATGACATAGCGGCCTACTCATACAATGACACAGCTGCCTACTGATACAATGACACAGCGGCCTACTAATACAATGACACAGCGGCCTACCTTCATAGTTTATCCTGCCATCCCCGTCAACATCGGCTTCGTGTAACATTTCCGCTATTTCGGCATCATTCATACTTTCACCCAGTCGTTTCATAGCGTACTTGAGTTCCTTCCCGTCGATATAGCCGTTCCCATCTCTGTCAAAGACCTTAAAGGCAGAGCGTATAGAAGCCTCTGTATCCATAGAGCCGGGGTTCTTCTCCATTTCAACTTTGATAAATTTTTTGAACTCTTTCAGTTCAATTTTACCATTACCTGAAAGTATGCATATATACTTGTTATTTCCCTAAACCCCATACTTAAACCATTTTATTATACCGATACACACTTTAGTTTTAACTAGAAAATATTTGTAAACCATAAGCTGTATAGCTTCACGTCCCAACTACCCTTTTGATGGCAATGGAGCCAAATGCAAAGTTTAACTATAGTGAATTGAAATATATAAGTGTCGTCTGCACAGTAGGAGGCGCGTTAGGTAGCAAGCTCCGCCCACCTCGCGCGTTGCTTCCGAGTTCGGAAGCAAGCTTCGCCCACCTCTCGCCTGATTGACTCGGCGGGAACACCCGAGTGTAGGTGTGTTCAGAAGGTGTGTTTTAGTTCCCAGACTAACACACAGGACTAAAACACAGTCAGGCAAAAGTGGGGATATATTCGATTTAACCAATTACTTTTATAAAAGAGTAAATAAAGTAGAGGTATACTAAATACATATATGCTTCTAGTGTTACACAATTGGAAAGACAGTTATTATCGTGAAACAATATTTACTTATTTGCCCTTTACCTGGGATAACCCGTACAAAGCCAAAGAAGGCTTATTTACAATAGGGTTGAAACGTGAAACGTGAAGAAGCATTTTCCGATATTTCCTGTATTGAAGAGTTTGTATAGAAATATGAGTAATACGTGTATTTTATCTGCGAATGATAGTTATGAATGCCAAACATAAATTGTTTTAAACCTAAAAATTGTTTCTTAATTAATGACTAATTCAAATTGTCTTTGATAATATATATAGTGTAACGAAATTGTCAACAGTCATTCAGTAAAGGTTATTTAGATAATGAATTTATCTTTGATGTTTAAATGTATAAAATCCTTAAATATTATATATCTTTACTTTTGAAAATGTCAAATCAACACCCTCATCGTATTATAAGTATTAGCCCACTGTTACTCTGCCATATCACTAATGCGCAAACTGCTTGCTGTTTTACATGTAGCTCAAACATAATACAGCCCATCACCCAATCACCCTGCTACACGGTATCACGTGGTCTGTTACTTACCGTTCTTGTCAAGGTTATCCATGGCCGCCTTGACTTCTTTCCGTGTTGGAGACAAACCCATGAAGTTCATAGCTTTCCTCAGTTCACCGAGAGATATTGAGTTACTATTGTCCTCGTCAAACGCATTGAATAGTTCTTTGATCTCTGTGGAAGAAAGAGACAACAAATATGATTAGTTTAACAAATCAAATTTAATTCAAGTTAATAATGTTTATACATGGTATCGATCCGTTTATTTATTATCTGATTAACGATGTACTTTGTCATTTGATTTAGCATTTTCAATCCAGAAGATTTAATATTAATCTAATACGCTAAAATGAATGTTTAACTTGTCTTTAAAGATTTCACGAATACAAATTAACACGCTCGAGGACGACTCCGTACATTTTGTATCTGTATTTTGAGCTATGTTTGCCTCCCTTAACCATCAGTGGCACAAAATAACTAACACTTTTGATTTGACTTAAAGTCGCATTTCTAAACCTTACCATGTTTTTAATTAAACACAGACTGTCTTTTCCAATGCAGCCATTCAAATAATAATATACAGCATTTGATACAGCTTCCTATCTAGCTAACATAAGCCACTCTAAATCGCTTTACAGTACATTGATACACAATTAGTATACACATTTATCAATACTATTTTGAGGAATTCGCAGGAGCTGCCCAATCAGGCGCTAGCTACTAGTCCTATGCCACCTGGCTAATATATCCCTATGTGTGTATCCCTGGAGATGTAATGTAATTCTTACTAATAACGTTTGTACATGTGAACTACATTTCAGCTATATAAAAGCACGTGTTTTGTACAGTAATGTTAGCAGACCCATTGTGTACAGTAATATATTTCCGTATCTCTTCATACCTCAAAGTTAATACATGTGTTACTTTAGTATATGCGCGTGTGTGTAGTTTCGTACCCATAGAGTATTTTCAAAAACACTGCTTCCTGTTGAAGCTCAAGTTGTTTGTTTAAGCTGTGTATACCTTTGCTTATCTATATTGTAAAGCGTTCATCCTTATCTGTCCGTAAGGTTTTATATATGGACGAGGTGTAATCTGCATGTAGTTTACGTACAGGTCGGCGCAGGTATGTAACTTATACTTGTAAGTACAGCTGTAGTAGTAAGCACAGACGCACTCGTAATTTGTTGCAGAATTTGCACTCAGTGTTAATCATTCAGCATCATCAATAACAATACCGTGACAGTGTGCGTTTTCATTATTATTTGTTTATGATTGCTATTGCCAAGTAAATAATAATAATATAAATACCATTATGAATATATATTTTCCATAAAAATTAAAAATTAAAATCTTTCTTAATATTTTGTTTTTGTTTTTTATTTAAATTTTTATTTTTTGTAGCGTTATTCTATATATAATATTTATCATATAATGCATTACGAGAACATGATATATTTGACAGTTAATATCGTCAAAAGCACAACAGTCAAGGTAAATAGATAACGTCTAGAGGCATGGTATTGAAAAAAGAAACTGGTTTGTTAAGACTTTATAATTATAAAAGCAGAATTTCTGAAAGTAACATTTAATTTGGTAAAAAATGATATTGATTTGTCTAGTTACATATTATTAGCAATAAAGTCAATTCCATTATCTTACAACGAGCTTTCTCTATGTCTCATCCTGTGTTATACAAACGTAGTGACTTCCGAAAACTGTTGAAACATACATGCGCCAAACTGTTAAGTAAGTGTTCGACACACGTCGCCAAAGGATATGACACGCTTGGAAATAACATTGGTAAAAAATATTTCGTTTAAAACGAATCAAATTAGCAACATAAGCTTAATTATATTTTTCTGACAATTAACACAGTTATTTTGAGAAAGATTGTAAAAAACACTTAAAGTAAGTATGACTGATGATAGTATCAATATGCAATACATGTCTAGTATGTAACGGAGAGAATACAATCGGTACCATTCAGGTGCCTTTCAGGGGTGTTGAATAATAAAAAAAAAAAAAATCTAATTTAAAATTTAGGTAAAAATAACCCAACAAAAATGAAGATACGACATTTTTTATAACAATTTTATTCTTGAGAAAATAGTCTCCGTCTACAAATATACACATGTGCTTTATATTATACCTCACCATCAGTATATTAAAGTCCGTGATTTGAATTATGATAAAATATGTAAATATCGGACTGTACAGGAGAGAGTTCGGAATGGATTCTGTTGGAAATGTACGACGGTTGGCACAAACATATCTTTGCTTAGATTATTAAACACGGTCAACATGTCAACTTATATCATTTGAGAAAGGTATAAAGTATCTCCAAAATTCTTCCAAATCACTGCCATCAAGTGACGTTTTTTAAAACTATTATTCGAACAAGCCATTTGGCTTGAGCACAGGTTTTTTTAAGCATAAGAAAAATAGTTTCATGAATACAAACTCAGATCTCGGAGAGCCAGAAACTTGCTATATCCTTCACATCCATACTTTAGCTATATATCAATAAACAGACGACTTCACAATTTCAGCAACAATCCCATGATGTATGAAGATAAATTAAAAGTACGTTAATAAAAACGATAAAGGGAGAGAAAGGGGAAAATGACGAAAGTAAATGGGAAGTTTCCCATATTCAACATCTGTATCATTGACGGTGGAGTTATTTGAGTTTCACAATTAATGGATAGGAATTGTAAATCGATCTCAAAATTTTTAATCACTGTTTACTCTGTACAACAATGTCAAGAGGAAAAACCGGATAAATATTTATTTTTTGGATCATTGTACTAGAGTAGCTCTATTCGAATGATTTATTTGTTTTTTCACGGTGAATATATCCATACCAATGCTGTAAAGCTGCATACGAAAAGTGGTGTTTCGCGTTTTTCAGTTGGCGATATAAAAAAAATCCTATGATGAATATCAGAAATGACAAATACTTTCGCCGAATTTACTCTTTTTTGGGAAATAGTTGTCGTACGTTTTTGGCATCAACCTTATTATTTGTGATGATATATAGAAACATAATTAACAGTTCAGGATCTTACCTGCGTCGAGGTTTCTTTCTTTTTTCTTTCCCTAGAAATACAAAAAGTTTAAAATACAAACAGGTAAACAACATCAACATGAAAATAAAATTATTCAGTTTCGCTTTAAAAAATACACATAAATAAACCGAAGTAACATAATCAAAGTTTCAAAAACAAAAACGCAATGAATCCCGGTGATATACACAAAGTAGTACACAGACTTAATACACCATGGAAATAAATGCACAACCTATAGGTGATGCCATCCTCGATGTCCAGGGGTTACCCTCACTTACGCTCTCTGCACCCCATGGAACAATTGTCATAGCAAAAGTAAAGGCTCAGTGATCACCACCTTGTTGATGAGACAAGAAGATATGTACATCAAAAGAATCTCGCGGTCGCGTAAACAGGTAAACATTGACTGATTTTGAAGTCGGGTGTCGTCCCTTTATACTCTTAAAGGGACAAGTATCAGCCTGGCTCTAGGTCAGGTGTTTTCACCTGAGATCAACCAAAACAGCTGTCTTTGCGCCTTCAAATTTGCTATGACATATTCAAGGGGTGTAGAGAGCGAAAGTGAGCGTAACTCCTGGATATCGAGGATGTGGTGATGCTATTTGAGAAAATCACGGAGATCACTTAAGTTGTACATTGAATAAATAAATAGATATAGATAATCGCGAGAAACATTATAAGATGAGAACTGCAGAGACCCTATATAAACCTGGCACAATGAAGTGACTTATACATGAACGGAATAAATCACGGAAAAATATACACAAATTGAGTAACTATATAGACGTCAACAGAAATACACAGTCTGTCTTATTCACCCATGATAAAAAAAACCTCCAAATCAATGTAAACAACACATACATGCCGGTAGAGCAGCCGTTTATTCAATATGCATGATATTTCACTTGTGACAATTGTGTACAAATCATTTCAAATTCTTACTCATTCATGTTAACTGGACAATGATACATGCATTACATGACAGGGAACTACCTCCCCCGACATCCAGGGTTAAAAACCAGAGATAAAACTTAATAAGTCACAAAAGCTCTGGAAATCCTTGTGATGTCCTAGATCATCTATGGAAACAACTTCAATACTGATATTAGCATATGTTTCACTAAACGAAAGTTGTAGAAATTTTTAAAAAATACTTTTTTTTTTTTTAAATCGACTGTTTTCTTTGGCGTCTCAGGCTAGAATGTCTCGCCGCCCTATTCGAACCAACCACGTATACATCCGCCCTGCCACACGTAAATCTCGTGCACCTTACTTTTCACCGACCAGTTCAATCACTATGCATTCCCACTTTCACCTGTATAATTCGCTATGAATATTCATTACTCTATATACTACGTAACGCAGTAAACTTTCAGTCTAGATAAGACCCGGAAATAAATAAACAAAGTTAGTAATATATTTAAATATCACTGAGATTTGTAAAAGAAAGCGGACTAAATCTACCGCTGAACGTTGCACAAGATAAGTAAAACAAACACGAAATAAATGCCGGGAATATATACACTAGGGTATATACGCGTTGTTCAACATGGACAAAGATACCATGTGAGCCTGATTTTAGTAAACCGTGACCTTAATAAGATACAAACGCCTCCATAATGAACAAATGTACATCAATTTTGACTTAATTATAAACATTGTTATTGAGTTTCAAAAATATGAAAACATCAGCGTTCGTTAGGCGGTTTGTCATTGGTCAATGACTCCACATTGTGATGTCTCTCAAATTTGAACCCCAGGACGTACAACCAGCCACATATGCATTTTACCCTCACACGTTTCCATATTTTCTGTAAAATTGATTGAATTGTGTTGACAAAGCAACAGCAATTACACAAGGAAGCAAAAAAATCATTTCCAAATTCTGTACTACAATGCCCTGTTAGATTACAGAGGCACACTTCCTTTGAACTCATACTTTCAGATAGGTCAATGGTGTTGTTGTTGTTGTTAATGTGCAGACTGAAATCAATGCATGTTTGGAGTATTCAAACATGGGCAATTTTACAAAAAAAAAGACTATAAATCAATTTTCTGGTAACCTGCTATATTATGACATGTTGCCAGGCAATTAAACCTGGTTACAAAAGACGTTATATGGACATAACGGGTAACGTGTTGGCCCCGCTACAACGTCACAGGCAAATCAATAATACGGCTCTGTGGTTGTATAACATTTACTTAATTGGTTCAGTCTATTGTAGCCGGGACAATTTAAATACTGAAGTTCTATCAAATATCGAACTTTAACGAGAGTATATTGGTTTAAAAGTGTTGAGGACGGTCGTGGATTAGTGAACAGGTGAATTAAACAGTATTGATCTTGATGATTTCCTCAAGTTAACGTTGACGAAAATTATATTGAAAAAATAGCCCAATGCGTTGACCTTCCTTGATTTGTCCCCTCACATTGATGAATATGCAATGAATGACTTGGTATGTTCAATGACAATGACCAACCTGACAGGAATGAAAACAACATCAATAAGACTTAAGTCATATTTTATGTACAACAAGCAGTGTTCTCCCATCTACCTTACGTCTCCCATATATACTGAACACAACTCGGATTGCAGGGTTAATTATTTAACAGAAAATACTCGTAGAACACGAATTGAAATGTAGAACCGGTATCTAAAGAAAGAAGAGCCCTCTAACACCAGTATTTACTCCGACCCTCCTCTCCCACTACACCAGTATTGTATAACACACCAATAGTATTGATTCACACCCCCTAACAATAACAGTTATTCAAACAGTAGTAACAGCACTATTCATTCAGATCCCCCTAACACCTGTTTGAACTAAGACACAAGGGTGCAAGACAACTTAAAATCTTAAGTGACTATTACGAGAACACACTAATCGAGACTTTAAAACACATAAAGTTCACATGTAAATGCACTGTTCATATTTATTTCAATTGATACAGTAAGAAAGGCTCAAACCGCCTAAAGAGACCAAACACGTGTCACAGATGTGTCCTTCTTAATCATACCAATTATTATACATAGCTATACAATTTACGGTAATGTGCAAATATTTCTGCGTATAATAATTAGCAGTTAGATCATGTATGGTATATGATGAGACGGAGGCGGTCGCTTTTAAATGTGTAAATATACAATTGTAAATTATAATGTATCGAAATATTGATTTAAATGTAATGTGAAGAAGAATGTGATTCTACTAATCTGTCAGTTTGTAAATACAGTACTCTATGATGATATTGTATATGCATATATTCTAGGTCTTCACTTTCATTTTACACATGATGTACAAGCCGATATCGTCTGGGCATCTTTTATAAACTCGCTGTATATGATATTTTATGAATGATTGTTTGTGAATTTAATGATACGTGACACTATAATAAAATATTGATTGATTTGATTGATAGGTATAAAAACATTCGTTTTGGTATTCACCATTTCTTAACCAATTATTCCCGTGTGAAAAGATATACACCTATCGCCGAAAGATGTTTTTCTTCAGTAGTTCTAGGCTAGATACTTTAATATTGATAAATTACTTCAGTTGGCATAGAAACTAATTAGCTGTTGTTTTACGTGTATACAAACTTGACCTTGATCTTTAGATATTGACCGACAGACACGTGCTGGTGTCATAAACTACACGATCTCCTCGTCTTATCAACAAATATTGACCTGTGTGTCATTTTAGGTCGCGTTAAGTGAAAATGTCCAATGTCTAAACCTTCAAGTATTAAATCCACTTGACACATATGGAAATGTAGAATCAGTTTATGGTATGGAAAATAAGTCGTTACAAATGAATTCAACTGCCATATAGTTGCGATAAAAATTAAATGGTTTTTAAGTGTCTGTTGTTGGATCAATATCGCGTGTCATTATTTATAACCCAGGTCAAATCCGGTCACGTGCTGCAGTTCACGAAGGAATGCTATTAGACAGTATCTTTCTATCCCCGGTCTGTATTTACCTATATGTATATTGTTAATATCGTCAATATTCCCCTCGTAAGAACCCGCCACCACCTTACCCACCTTCTCCACCTACACACACCTACACACATAAAGCTTGCTATTATATGACGTCTAAATTTATACACCAATCCGCATGTTACAATGTTAGGTTCATGTAGAATGCACATACTGATAAATACATCAATAATGTTTGAGTGTAACTTTAGGTTAATAAGATATATTAAAACAGAAACAGGGACACAATCTGAACTCAGTATTCACATTTTGACGTCATTTCAATTGTAACGTCACAATGTTTTCTGCCGCCTGCAGTATTGAATACGTTCCACCTTGTGTCATGGTTAAATTATTATTTACCATCTAACATAACAGTTATGGACATCTATTTGCGTGAATATGTGGTTATATAGACATAAGAATATGATTTTAACCGTTGTGAAAAAAAACTAGGACCACCTCGTTAAAGGTTAACATTTGTTTGTTTGTTTGTTTGTTTGATTTTGTTTAACGTCCTATTAACAGCTGAGGTCATTTAAGGACGGCCTCCCCTGTGTGCAAGATGCATGCGTGTAGTGTATGTGTGTGTATTTTGGGAGGCTGCGATATGTTCGTGTTTGTCTCCTTGTGATAGCGCGGAACTGATGCCGACTTTAAAGTGCTACCTCACTGAAACATACTGCCGAAGACACCCAGCAGGACGCCCCACCCGGTCACATTATACTGACAACGGGCGAACCAGTCGTCCCACTCCTAATTTGCTGAGCGTTAAGCAGGAGTAGAAACTACCATTTTTAAAGACTTTGGTATGTCTCGGCCAGGGGACAGAACCCAAAGCCTTCCTCACAGGGGCGAACGCTCAACAAATGGCCAAAAGTGAGGCATTGTCAAGGGAGACATTAGGAAGAAGAAAGTTATTTAGAAAGGAGAGAAGAGATAAGGTCCCAAATTTAGTCGCCTCTTACGATCATGCAATTGGGGGCAGCAGATACAATTCTACGCCCTACCTGCAGGGCCATTAAAGGTTAACAGGAAAAAAGCCCTGG